AAAATGCAAATAAAAAGCCCCAAATAGCACAAGATCAAACAGGGTCCGTATCTAGCCTTTCAAAGGCATCCAAACTGCAAAGCTCACCATAAGCAATGTTTTTGTTTGGAACACTAACTAGGAACACTAAAAGCATCTTCTGTGTGAAAACAACATGCATATGAGTTTATTTATGTTATAACTTTAATCTCTTCAATAACAGGTCTTTAAAGCTTATTTCAGGCTGAGAAAATAATACCGAGTAATGAATCAAGGCCTTAAGAGACAATGAGCAGCAGGGAACCACTGCAGAGAGTGCCCTCCTGATTTAATTAAACTCTTAAAGATACTCCAAGAAACAAAATCCATTCACCCATCAATATGATAAAAAGACTGTAAGTTCCCTTAAACTCACCTACCTGCCTCATGAATGCTCTGGCTGGGAAAACGAGGCAGAACAGGGTCCTCTTTCATTTAATTCTTCAAACCAGCAATGTTCATGCAAGCATGGGCCTTTTAACTGCTCCCAGGATGGCCTGGTGGGAGTTATACCGGCGTGGGAAGAGGGTAAGAGGCATCAAAGCCCACCGAGGCAATTATAGACGGGCTGTTATTTTTAGGACGGAGGCATGCCCTCTCTTCTGAGCCGATGCTTTAGGAGATGGAGTTTTCCAAAGGCAGCGGAGTTTGGCCAGGGCAAGCGATCCCGGGCACTGAGCACAACCGGGGGCAGGAATCGCAACCAGCCTCCGCCTTTAGAAATCCTCCCAGGCGCTCGCCCAGCTGCAAAGCTAGAGCCTGCATGGGTAAAAAGAGCACACGCGCTGTCCCCCTCGCCCTGTTTGCGGGGTCGCACCCAAGCATACACCCCTGGGATGCAGGACCCCTGCCACAGGCCCCTGGCTCAGCCCTCCTCCAGCAGCCAGGCTCCAGCACGGGTCAGGGCCAGAGATTTTGGAATTGGTATAAATAATTGCAGGAACGTCACATGCGTGAATCTCTTCCCCCTTCCTTTAGGCAGCCCCTGCTATGATATCCATCAAACATATGTATATATACGCGTGCACACACACACAAACATATGCATATATACACACACAGAGAAAGAGATATGAGAGAAAGCTATATATATAATCATACCTATACACACATACATATAAAAAAAAACGCACCTAGGAGCTGTTACGTTTCTCTGGCTTCACGCGGGACTTTTTTTTTACAAGGTGGCTGTCCCGCACTGCATCGCCAAGGACTTTTCTTACACCACCTTCCCCTTAAGGTCATGCATTTAAGTGGCCTCCCTGAACGATTCTTTCGGGTCCCCCTAGCTTAGGGGAGAAACGCCCAATTCGGTTGAAACCAGAGAACCCCAAGGGATTTAAGCATGTACTTAACGTTAAGCATGCGAGCAACGTTTTCCCTGAATCAAAGCCTGAGCAACTAAATGAAAAAAGCAAATATTTGCTAGAATGAAAACGTCAAACGCTTGGCGGCTTTCGTTTTGCCTTGTGTTTCTACTCATGGGTGCTGCAGCCAGTTAATAACCATGTAATTCATAGGGGGTTTTTTTTTCGGTTGAGGGGGCGAGGTGTCATTCTGAGGCAATTCAAGACAGTTTTGTTTATATCTTTCTAAACGAAATTAAAAGCGAGGAGAAAAGGAAAAAAAACAAAAGGTTCACTGGTGGGGTGTTGATCATTTTTTCAAAGTTAGCATTAGCTTCACTTAGTCTCAAAACATCACTTCAAAAAGCAGAAGTCAAAGCATCTCATTTCAAAAACGCTCAAAGAAATGAGTCTTTTTTTTAAATTGCTACTTTCTGTTGTAATTATTTGTTGAGTTCAACACAAATCATTTCAGCTGACCTGAAACTGTATTTTTCAACACATGCACTCGTGTACATTAAAAAGGGAGGGGAAAAAAAGAAGAGAAAAAAAGTCCAGTTCTTTAGCCCGAATTGTGCAAAACCACTAATTTTTAGCTGTTGGCCTTTAGCTTGAGAAAAACAGACTGAACAAACGGCTGAATAAACAATCCTTCTCATGGGCGTATCAAAAGGGCAGGCAAGAAGAACAAAAAAATAAGTCAGGATATCAGAAAAGTATAAAGGGGTAAACAGATACCGGTCACTAGAAATACCTCTAGAAACGGAGCTCCGACATCGACAGCAGAACATTTGCACCACTGGTGCACGCTCCGCGCAGATTAGGTTGCACATCGTGGCACCGCGCGCGTCCTCCTATAAGCCAAAAGCTACAGAGCCAAATTTCCCCTGCAATAGCTTGGGGCGGCCTCAAGAACAAGCTTGCTTCGCTCGGGGAGCTCCCGTCGCCTGTGCCCTCCGTTGAGCCGCTCCGAGGACTCGGGGACTGGCACCACCTTTCCTCCTTACATACTCGCGACCGCATCACCAAACCCACACTGTGACCTAACAGAGGGTACCCCTATAAAGGCAAAGCCCGCTGGGAAAAAAAACAATCATTCACTGCCCGTCACTCACTCCGCAGTCACATCTGCCCCTTCCTCCCAGCTTAGCGGGGAGACCGCCGATAATTTTTGTTAGTTTATTGCCTTCCCCCCCATCCGCATCCAGCTCTCATCTTCATGCCGCAACAAAACCAAGACCCAACAGTTCGTCTTGGGCAAAAGCAACGGTTTTGAATATCATTTTCATCTGTTTCTCTTCAACTCCAGCTGCCAGATGCAGATGACCCGAATGCCACCAACACCCCCATGCCTTTTCTTTCCTACGGGTCGGCTCTTGGCCTTCAGAGGAGTCCAACCAACAAGCAATAACGAGCATAGGGATGTTAACAGACAGTAGGTCAAACCTTACGGGTTGTATTTGTCTCCGTTGCTGGTAGTTGGGTATCTGTGACGAGGCGCTCTTTCTTCTTTTTCTTCTTCTTTTTTTTCTTTTTTTTTTTTAAACAAAAATAAACCAGCCAAGCTGCCTCCGGGCCTCTCTACACACCCACACATCTCTGCAAGCTACCTGCAGTGCAGGACACGGAGACAAGTGAACCCCGTGCCGATGCCCTTAAAGGCAATCTTAAAGATGCTCACCCTCACACACTTCTAAGGCCCGCAAGCAGGCACGTTCTTGGGTCAACATCCGGGGGCGAGAGACCAGTTTTTGAGGAATTTTGCCAAGAGAGAAATGCCCTAAGCACCTGACTTTTTACAGAACTTGGCAGAACTTTAGAAAATCTGTACATCTATGCGGCTGCTGAACAGGGAAATTCTCTTTCTGAGCCATCACCACTGTATATTTTCTTCTGATATAAACATGAGTTAAGGTTATGGCTCAGTGCGATCTTCCCAGGAAGAAGCACAGATTACATCAGTGTGACCTATTAAAGCAATCTTAAATGCCTACTGATCGTTCATTATAGCACATTACTTTCCTTCCTGATGTAATATTTATTCAAGATCTTGGGCAAAGAAAAAAAGGCTCCAGGAAGGCACTGCCTGGACATCGTATTCATGAACTAGGGCAAGGCAAGGAATGGTCTTGACAAGTTGGGGAGTTCCCATTTACCCCCCCTCCCCTGGATGAATTAAAATACCTGCTCCTGAAGGGCATATGGGCTGCTATTAGCAAAGCCAAAGGGAGAGCTAATTAACAGGAGTCAGAAGGAACAAGGACGTTTTCATCCTGTGCAGCAATAAATCATGCTGTGTGAAACAGAAGAAAACTCAGATGAAGTTTTAGGTCTCCCTAAAAACACTCAGGAACCCTTTTAATATAGGGTATAGGATTCCCCATTGAAGCCACTTATCCCCCTCCGCACACCTCGCCCAGAAAGCGGTGACATAAGAAGCCCGAGACACCGTCTGAGCTCGGGGGAATGAGACTTTATGAGGCCTTAAAAAGAAAAATATCATCTTTTTTTTTTTTTGGTCACCGCAACACAAAACTGAGTCAATAAACGTTTTGCTGAGAGTCAAGTCTAGAGGATTTTTTTTTTCCTCCTTGCACCTGCCCTGCCTGACCGACCTCCTGCACAGGCAGCCTTCTCCTCCACCCTGGCACCTTCTCCTCCACGCAGCAGCTCCGATGCCTGCTGCCACCTAAAGAGGAGAGAATTAGAGAAAGAGGCACAAAACCCTGCTCCAGACGGCAAAAGGTGGCAGAGTGGCTCTTCCTCCCCACGGGTCCCTGCCCACACAGGCATCTATTTTGCACAGGCTTCTCCCAAAGCGCTCGCAGGGCGCCGAAGGTTGGAAGGGGCGTCATGAAGATGCCACCTCCTCCAACGCTCCAAGCAGGGCTGGCTTCAAACATGGACCGGCTTGCTCAGGCCCTCCAAGGACAGGCATTTCACAGCCTCTCGGGGACCCTGGGCCAACATTTGACCACTTTTTCTTTTTTTTTTTTTTTTTCTTTAACCTGCCTCTGTCTTCTCTATTATAGCTGAAGACCACAACTGAGTCTACTTTTCCTTGGCCTTTTCTTCTCCGGGGCAAACAAACCTAATTCCCTCAGTACACATACCAGCTCCCAACCATCTTAAAGGCCAAAATCACCTGCCTCTCTCGAAGCACAAGGAACCTAAGACCAAGCGAAAAAGTTACCTTTTCCCTCCCCGCCATGTATTTCCTATTGGCTTACCTTCTTCATTCGGTACAACTTCCTTCCAATTTTCTGTGTTACTCATGCATCTAATTAATGATTCAGATCATTAATATTTTTGGAGCAGATATTCTTCCTGTCTCTAAAGCGGCTGTGCCAACTTCTCGCCCTAATTTTAAACAACGTATTTTGTGTAAGCTTTCCGCACAGAAAACAGCTTGAGACCAGACTTTTCTGTCCTTCCACAAGAGAATTATTCTGAATGCTATCAGAAAATCTTAACACACCTTCATCTGCAAGGAGGCTTTTTTTCCAACGCTGCTACAGAGTACACCCACCTATAGATGTGCACAGGAATACAATCAATACATGTTAATTAAGCTGTAGCCCGCTCCAATTAAAATTACAGGATCTGAAGGATAGGCATTTATTTTTGTCAGTAAATTCATTTAAGCATTCATTAATTTTAAGTTTAATTTTCAAATTATATAGCACTTTAACAATAAATAATTCCTCTCATTACAGAAAAAAACATATGGAGCAGAAAGATAAAATGGGAAAGACTTAGACTCAGTCAAGAATATATTCTCAGGCACTTCCTTCTCTTTCAGCACATCAGCAACCCCATTTATGTCAGCAAACTGGGCTCTTTTGAAAATTTGCCCGGATAGCACAGTGTTGAAATAAGAACAGAGATTCTTTGAAACTCTCACCTCCTTCTCTGCTGGGAACATGAAAGCTTGGCTGTGAAATCTCAGTGTTTTAGAATAGCTGAAACTTTGTACGCACGACCAAAACAAACACTTTTCCATGAAAATAAAAATATTACTGTGTTAACAGTTTTCTAATTTATATAATTTATTTTTTTTTTAAACAGCTTAACCATTTTCGCACATATCCCCAGCAGATAGCACTGATTTCCAAAACGAGTTTTGCGCAGAGCTCACTGTGCTCGGAGTTAGAGCCTCCCTGGCCTAGGTAATTATATACAGAGCAGAGCAGCAATGTTTCAGACCTTCTTTTCCCAGTAGATACTGGGGGACAAATGATCTGGGCTGGTCCAAACCAAGGTTTTAACCCTCAGATTCTTCAACCCAAACGACTGCCCAGCGGCTCACCTCTCAGCGTCAGTCTCCTCTGGGCTTTCAAAGGTCTCTGCTCCACCTCAGCGCAGAATTAAACAAATATCCCAAGTCTCTTCCCTCTGTATACAGAGGGCCCGGCGCCCCAAAATGCTTCTCTGAGATCACAAGCTCTTCACTCCACCGGATGTAGCCATGCAACACCTCCCATAGCCAGGATGCTGAATAAATACCAACACCGCATATCACAGACTCCTCCATACAGACGTATCGCACTCTGCCTGAGACCTGTCAAATGCCAAAAAAATCAAAACAGAGGATCTGAATAAATTATTCGGCAAAGAACGTCAATACTCCTTAAGCGCTGTGAGGCCTGGACTGGCAATAATTGAGCTTCACAGAGTGATTCGGGATGGCAGTAAATAAATAACAAAGCAAATAATTCGGCGAATAGACTATCTGACAAAAAGGAGCTAGAAAACCACTACATCTCAGCCTCAAGGGAGCTGTAGTCCTGCAGTGCAACTTGACTCCCTTCTTACCATATTTCTCCCCGTGAAAGACCGCACCCAGTCCTCTTCCCAGGCCAGCTTTGCAGCTAGCAGTGAACCGTTGCTGCCTTTACCCCACGAGACATGCGCCGAGGCAGGGAAGAGCCCGTGGCACAGCCCAGCGAAGACCCAAGGCTCCCCTGCCACGCTTAGCATCCATGCTAAGCGGGGCAGGGCATCCCCGTCTCAGAGCTCCAACTCGCTTCTCCCACCTCCTCTGCCTCTTACCATCTCCCATCTCACACTGTCCCCTCCTTGCACAGGGCCAACGTTAACCATTCCCTTCGTGAGATCCCACCACCAGCAGCACCCACTCTACCTCTCCAAAATCAATCCACCATCTCCCCCCCTCCTCCTTTTGCTCCCAGCACTGGGCTCTCTCCTATCTCCTGCGTGCCCCTTGCCAAGCCATGCGAGAACAAACCCAACCTACAAACCTGGCTGGAAAGCGGTATTTCCGGCCTCAAGTGCCTGTTGCGGGGTTAGTGCAAGTCTAGTACATTTTGTCCTACACTTTTCCGCAACCGCGGTCACAGATGAACAATGAGAAACCTCTCAGAGGTAGGCAATGATTGCTCAGGGTCACCCTCCCACGTCGTAGCTGGCCTCCTGACAGCACAGTCCACTGGCCCTTACCGTTGTCCAAAGCACGTCATTTTATTCTTCGGCACCCCAATGGAAGCTTCCAGTACAGAGACACTCGCTGTCTCGAGGCCACGCAGTCTCGAGGCATCGCAGGGCCCTTGGTGACGGCGTCTTTCCACAGCAAACTGCCTGCTTCTCCACAGCAAGATGGCTCCTGTTAGCCCGAGCAACGCCTCTAAAGCCAGCCCGCACCTGGAGACGGCTGAGGGAACATCTCCAATTTGTGCTTCAGCGAGGGGAACTAGCTTGACCGCTTAAATAACACTGCTGTGACAGCCCACTGCGCCACTGCGCTATCCCTGCTAGCTCCAGCTAGAAGCATCCTGGAGACGTTTTCAGTAATCTTTCCTGTGCTTTGCTGAAAACGAAGGGATTCCTCCTGCAAGCAAGAACACCGCGGCCTGGACCAGGGTTTCCATGTGTTGGCACAGAAGCAATCGGGAAACAACCTTGTGCTTTCAACAGGCGGGGAGATGGACTAACAGCTTGGACAAAAAAAACCTCCTTCAATGGGAACACGCTGGACGTATACAACGCAGAAGATTCAGTCAATTCCACGCCAGTAGTAGAAGCTGAAAAGGGACGGGGCAGTGAAAGAGAAACTATGCAAAACAGATTACTTCCTAGCAATCTTTTTGTTTCCTTAGCTATTGCAGATATTTGAGCATTTAAAAATGCTCAAGTGATTCCTCCACCCAGCTGTGCTGCCAAACTCCCATATTTATGGCAACGGTGCGCATGTTGCTATAGAGATAATTAATTAATGCAACATAATAAATTCAGGAGTTTTATTACTTTGCAGGTCAACACAGGATTTGAAACAGAGCGGGGAGGGTAGGAAACCTTACTTCTAAAAAGCAGTATCTTTAACGATCCTCTGAGCACAGAGTAAGAGAGTTGGGCCTGAAAATCATTTCCATGGTACATGAAACGTGCCGCATTTGGTGTAATCACAGTGATTCGGAGCCCAGAAGAGAATTAGAAAAATAGCAATACAGACGAATGAAGGTTCAGCTGAACAATTGCAGGTGGAGGAAAGAAAGTTCTTGGAGCTTTCAGCAAAATTCTTCCTCTCAGCTTGGCAGAAACGTGTCAGATCATCAGGCACTGGGCCAGAGAAAGAGTTAAGTTGTGATGTCCAAGTGGCTGACTCTGAAGGCACAGGGCTCTTTTCCAAGAGTCCTCAGATACCAGCCTCCCCACAAACAAGCTCTCCAGGGGTGTCCAATTTGCTACAGAAGAGCCGCTGAAGGAGGAGTAAGCGCAGTTTCCTCCTTGCGGGTCCTTCTCAGCAAGGCAGGGAGGAGAGAAGGGCTCGAGACAAGCCTGCTTGCACCCCAGAAGACTCGGTGTCACACACAGCCACGAGCCTGCAGGTCTCCCCACCTGTTACCCAAAGCAGGATTTCTCCTGCTTGCCACGGGTGGGCCATACGAGGAGGCATGAGGTAAGCCCACAAACGTTCACCTTTCTCCTGAGTATCAGGTTTCTCCTGAGCATCAGGTTGACGTTCACAGGTGATACAGCCATCGGCAACTCATCAACACGTCCAGCAACACAACTCTAACTCTTTGATGACAGAAATAACCCCACCGCAGAGCTCACCTTTTTACATATAACTAGGCCCAAGGATGCTGTCGAGCATTCAAGTAGGTGCCACGCTTTCAGTTCACTCCAACTCTGCCATTTTTGTTGATTTAGAAAATTAAAAACAATCCTCTCCTCAAGCGGGGCCTAATTTTATTATTTGTCCAGTGCTAATTAGAATCTTTTCGTGTTCCTTTCAGTTCAGGGTCTCCACCTTCTGAGGTTAGAAAGAAGAAAAAAGCACAGAAGAAATTGGGTCAGCTAATCCTCCGAACGCTACTGTTCTTCAGCAAAGCTACTTCTGCACCCAATGAAACAAAGGGGAAAATGCTTTGAGACGCGCGCACACACGCAGAACAAAGGAGCCCAAGTCTCTGTTTTGGGACAAAAGCAACATCATCAGACAGCATCTCCTGCAACCAAGACAGCACTAGTCACGTTGTAACACTGTCACATGGCAAGCGTCACTGTCACACCAGGAGTGGAGACATCTTCAACCCTTTACACTTCTTAGAACCGCCCAGTTACAAACAAAAAACAAAACCAAAACAAAAAAAAAAACAGGGCCATTTACCAGAAAAGTCAGAAGCCCAGGATACCTTTGCGCAGCTCGTAAGCCATCTCCGCATTATGCTATTTCAATAAAAGCACGGAAATGTGTACAGCAATATGAAAGCTTTTATAAAAAAACGTGTTCAGCTTTTATATTGCATTTAGATTGCATTCATGTTCAGCACAGTTGAGGAAAATCAGAACAAAAGATGCCCCAGTATTAAATGCATTATGATCTGTTTGGAGACTTCAGGATCAGCTACCAGTTCTTTAGAGGCTCAGCTACCTTCAATAGGATAAAATTGCATGGAGTCATTAAAATCCAGAGCTTACTGCGTACCATCTGCAAGCAGAGATAGTTTCTCTATTCCCAAGTCTTAGCTGTTTTCCTGGCAGGCTGCTGCTCCGACCTGTTGCAAGACTTCCCCCGTCTGTCTGCAGCGTACTCCCTGAGGGGACGGGTCCATCTTTAGGGGCTGGTTTAGCTGCAGAAAGAGTGGCAGAAGTCGATCGGACAATTTTCATGAGACAATTAGAGTGGCAATACCCAAAGCCAACAAAATATTTGCTCGATCTGCACAAAAACCAGAGCAAAGCACAATCCCGCAATGACCAGCTGCTGCATAGGTTTGAAACTAGAATAAAGAGAACACATTTTTAGCTAAACCCAGTCAACAACCCAACCCAGAAAGCAGAGGCACGCATACATCTATGGCGAGAGTAACAATGGGCAATTTAGCTTGATTATATCCTTGCAGATCTTCCTTTTTATAATAGTCTGCATTATTTTGAATGCAGACTGGTTTTTTTCCCCTGAGCATCAGCTCTTGTAACCAAAAGTTATCATTAGCTCCTGATTAAAGGAGGCTTTAAATAAAGAGCGGAAACAAGTTCAAACAAAGACGTGCTGCTGCATCCCAGGCCTATGGTATCAGGCCGACTGCTGCAAATGTCAGTTTTATTTACTGTTTGGAGCCCACTAAGCTTTTCTTCAGCAGCCTTATTTGTAGCTGAGGTAAAACTGGGAATGCTGGGCCAGATGGGACAAAGGAAGAACAGAGAAGAAAGGAAGAGGGAAATAAATAAGCAAACACGGGGCCCATGGCTCCATGACGATCCTGGTCCTGGTAGTTCATACCAGCAACACACGTGCAAGCGTGCACACGGC